TAAATCAGCATATTAGAATGATTTCTGAAGATCATGTGACACTGAAGACTGGAGTAATGATGCTGAAAATACAGCTGCGCATCACAGAAATAAATTAGATTTTAATGTATATTAAAATAGAAAAACATTATTGTTCATCATAATAATATTTCACAATATTACATTTTTTCCTGTATTTTTGATCTAATAAATGCAGCCTTGATGAGCAGAAGAAACTCCTGTAAAAACATTAAAAATCATTCTGATCCCAAACTTTTTGACAGCTTTTGATATATTAAGTACATTATAACCAGGTTGCATTTTTAAGAGTTTTCAGAGTTATACTAAAATAATGAAATAATAGTTTGTGTAAGTCACATTTTTGACAAATATTGCAAAGGTCCCACATCATGTAAATTACATTTAATCACACACTTTACACAAATGTAATCATATGTGCTCCCTCTATGTATCTTTCGTAAGACTTATGAAAGCTCCCAATGCTTGTAGCTAATGTGTTGTTCTCACAAAGCATGATTTATAGTAAAAAAAAAAAGCTTCAGAGGATGTCATCTATTGTAATTAAATTCATGGTGGATGCCTTTTGCAGTCGAACCTGTGCATGCCAAGGGAAGGACTCAGAAACCTGTGGAGCTTCCTTCTCTTTTGGCTGCTCCTGGAGCATGTACTTCAATGGATGCAAGTATGCTCGAAGCAAAACCCCTCGCAAATTCAGACTGCATGGAGAGCACCCCGAAGAGGTTCGTTTTACATAAAAATGTGTGGTTATTTTTACAAGCCTAATAAAAATAAATAAGGTAGTTTTACATCACCCTTGCTTTGCTGTATTATAATTGTATTAAATTATATATAATAAAATATTTTTCAAATCGAAGTTTAAATATGTTCAAATATGAATGGAATAATTTACTACATTTTTCTTTAAATATAATTACACAGTGTGTGTTGCATTTCGTTTACTCACCAAAAAAGGTCTTAAATTTAGTATCAAATGCTACACTCAATTTACAATAAAAGCATTTGAAGCTGTTGCCAGTTGATTTTGAACTGGCAGATGAACTTGCACCTTGTTTATTAAATAACGTTTGGTCATGTATTACTATTATAAGACTTTTTGCTTAAAAGACTGTCTAGTTTTATGGAAGTCACCATCTTTGATATTTTCTTTAGTCAATGTCAGCTGGGAGAAATAAGGAAAGGGGAGTTGACCTCATGTATTCGTTTCACTCGTATAAGCTGTGATATGTACAGGACAATTTTGAGTCACTGTTAGTAAGTCAATCCCAAGCCCTGGCTGTGTGAACAATAGCCCTTTACTGTTCACGATAGCCCAAGTAAACGCATTTGCAATTTTTTTCGTACAGGAGGACATTCTCAGGGATAACTTCCAAAACTTGGCCACACATGTGGCCCCTGTGTATAAGATGCTGGCTCCCCAGGCCTACAGTAACCAGGTTTGTTTTATTAGAAATTTCACACTACACTGAATGGTACACAGTTTATACCATTCATTAACATGAAACCAAACCGCTTTTCTGGTAATTGTGGACTTACAGGTTTGGTGGGGTTTCAGGTGATCAAGAAGTTTGTGATTTTAATGTTTCAGAACTTTATTTGTATACGGTGAATTATGCTATCAGGAAGTGTTACAGAAACTGAATTAATCATTTGTTTATTTAAAATAATTATTTAATTTTTCTGTTATTTAGTGTTTAAATGAGAAGATTGCTTCAGATTGTCGGTTGGGTTTGAAGGAAGGACGGCCGTTTTCAGGAGTCACTGCATGCATGGATTTCTGTGCCCATGCTCACAAAGACCAGCATAACCTCCACAATGGCTGCACTGTGGTATGTTAATTATCATTTGTGACCCTGGACCACAAAACCAGTCATAAGTGTCAATTTTTCAAAATTTAGATTTGTACATCATCTGAAAGCTGAATAAATAAGCTTTCTATTTATGTGTGGTTTGTTAGGATAGGACAATATTTGGCTGAGATACAACTATTTGAAAATCTGGAATCTGGGTGCAAAAAAAAATCTAAATATTGAGAAAATCGCCTTTAAAGTTGTCCAAATGAAGTTCTTAGCAATGCATATTAATAATCAAAAATTAAGTTTTGATATATTTACGGTAGGAAATTTACTAAATATCTTCATGGAACATGATCTTTACTTAATATCCTAATGATTTTTGGCATAAAAGAAAAATCAATAATTTTGACAAATACAATGTATTTTTGGCTATTGCAACAAATATGCCCCAGCGACTTAAGACCGGTTTTGTACTCCAGGGTCACATTTATGATTGTATTTGTGCAAATAATGTGTGTAGGTTAGGCTTTTGCATCATACTTAATTTTAAATTTTACCTTTCATGTAACACAGCTCTAAGTGAATGAAAACATCCTGCGAAGTTTTAAATCTGAAAGTGCACCATGTATAAAGTTATTGTCATTCAAAAGAAAGAGTCAACTCAGAGTCGAGTTTTTAAAACGAATCTCTAGCTGTTTCATGTTGACGTCAACATGAAACATTAGCATATTTATGCCCACCCACTTGTTGCACGCGCCGACCCGGGAAAACTTCTTCGTAAAATTCGTAAATTAATTCGACTGTCACGCGTATACGTCACAGTGCCGTAAACAATATTGACACTTACCATTGAGAAACGTCCTGCTCCAGTCGTGTTTGCGCTTGACTTTCTGGTTCATCAACAACTCTGGACGCTTCCTCGTCGGACTCTGGCTCGAATTGATGAGGCAAAATTGAAGCCATGTTCTCTGTTCATAAACTGTATACACTTGATAAGCCGTAATCCAGTATTGTTGATGGGCGTTCCATTTCTGACATGCGCTGCATGCAACAGACTGGGCCATCAGACCAATCACCGCAGATTGGCTGCACGCATAGGAGGGGTTTTTAAAAATGAATCGTTGAACGAATCGTTTGGGGATAAAAAATCTACTAAACTATAGGGAGCCCCTTTACTATAAGGTTACAATTAACAACAGAGCCCAAACTTAAATTCAATTACTATTTAATTTTTAACTATAATAATTAACACTCAAATTAAAAAATTGTATGCAACCATGTTTTTAAATTAACTTCTAAATTATACAATTTCTATTTGTTGTTGAAATATAATCATTTACAGAGTGGCTGTCATAACTTCATTCATAACTAAATTCATAAATGATTTATTTAAACATGCATTAAGGCATCACTAACAGGTAAAGTAAAATATAATGAAGTATATTGTCTAATATTTGTAAAAAAAAAAATACTCTTCACTAGACTTCACTTCTCTAGCAACTTGACTTGCCTGAGATAAATGAAATGCTATGTGACATTTTGTTTACAAGCTGTTTTAATGATGTCTTTCCGCGGTAGATTCAAGATTCAAGATTTTTATTTGTCACATCGTAGAAATAGTTTTTATTTGTCACACATGGTAGAAACACTAATTGAGTGATTACGTGAGGGGTGAGATGTTCATTCATGTTTATTTCGCGTTAAAACTAGTAATAAAGAGGAAGGGATGATCGCACTCACTTGCGCTCTGCGCTGCCGTCAGAACTGAGGCATTTATACAGTGATCTGACGTGCCACATCAAAGAGAGCCAAAATGGCATTTATTGTCTGAATTTCCTGAAAAAAATAGAATGATTTGTTTGGTACATATGCGTACCGAACCGAAAGACCCGTACTGGAAATTTTCAGTACGAATACATGTACCATTACACCCCTATCCTGTACATATAAATGAAAAGGCTTCTCCGGTCAAATTTAGATCTGTTTGTGTACCATAGGCAGTAGGGTATGGAATTAACTGGCCTTACACTGCCTAATTTTGTTACTTCCAGGTGTGCACTCTTACGAAAGAGGACAATCGCAGGGTGGGCACAATCCCAGAAGACGAGCAGCTGCATGTGCTTCCGCTCTACAAGATCTCTTCAACCGATGAATTCGGAAGTAAGGAGAACCAGCGTCTCAAAATGCAGACAGGAGCCATCCAGGTGCTCGCTAACTTCCGTCGACAGGTTAGAAAACTTCCAGAACCTGCTAAATCCTGCCGGCAGCGTCGGTTGGAGGCCAAAAAGGCTGCGTCGGAGAAGAAGAACAGGAAATTGCAACTTTCAGAAACCCCAGAGAAGACGGTCAAGATGGAGATGCACCACATGGAGTCACCCCACCCTCAGCAAGGCAATAAAGGTCAGTTGTGAAATATCAGTTTATCTCTATATGCATAAACCAGCTCATGTAAAATTCTAAAAGGGAGTTAAATTAACGACTGGTTGTTTAAAGTAAAGGACTACTAATTTGGCTGAAGTTGGGAGCATTTTAGAGATGTGCTCTTTGGACTTTGTAGTGTCATTATTTAAATGTAGAAGAAGAAAACTAAACATATATATTTATATTTACATACAGAAGATTTTCGGTACGAATACGTATATCTTTACACCCCTAAAATGTAATTTACCATCCCCATTGAAGGTGTTGAACTTGAGCTCTAACCTTATGAAATTGACACTCAAAATACACATTTACTACACATTTTTTTCTTCTTTGTCTGTTATCTAGCTATTCCAAAACAGGAGGTGAAACCAACCATCAAAAAAGAGCCTGTCGACCGCTTCCAGCCCTTCAATGGAGCCATACGTGGCTACCCAGCACTAGGGAACGGCAAGACACCCTCTGATCCCCGCAGCATGAACAGTTCGTTCTCATACCCTGGTAACTATGCAAGAGGTCGCATCCCAACCAACGGCCATCCTCCTGCGCAGAGCCCCATCAATGGCTTTCACCCCAACCTCCAAGAAATACGCTATGGTTATTACAACTACCCTCCCAGTGCACTTTTTCCTCCTGAGCTCTTGGGATATGATAATGGAGCCTGGCCCAAAGCTGGAGAAGCCTCTGCTGCACCATTTGACCAGAAGCCAGATGTTCAGTGTCTCCAAGCCAAGCTGGCACAGGCCTATCCCAGCCGCCCACAGCAACAAATGGCTGACGGCTCAATCCTGATTCAAGGGTTCCCACACCCTTCCGAGGTTTCCCAATCTCCTGTTCCACCCAGTCGTATTCCATCCCTGGAGCAGACACACCGCTCTACGCCCATAATCAAGCAGGAGCCCATGGATGTGCCACTGTATGATGGCAGATCCGATGGGCAAGCTCAAAGCTGCCCCTCCACTCCCAGTACCACACCAAAACCCGAAGGCTGGCCTGGGCACAAACCAAACGGTAGCCTTATCCCTAAAGGCTGGGATGGAAATATCAGACCAGGTCCGACCAATTCGCCTTTCACTCCGGACAAGCAGAGGTTCCACCAGCAACATGAACACCCTCAGTATCTACAGCAGCAACAATGGAATTCATATTCCTGCCCTAACACTCCAATGCCATCCCCTTCACCATCTTCGTCCCCATCCCTGAAAGCAGGTCCATCACCTGGACCTTCTCCACACCCGTCCACCCCAAGACAGTGGGGTAGCCCTTCCCCTAGTCCCCAACCTAAAGCATGGGGTCCTTACGGACCCATATGTTACGGCGCTGGTGGCATAAGGCAAGGCAGTCCTGCTGGTGCTTTCCCCGATAAAATGCTCTCCCAAGCAGGTGAGAATTGTGGCTCTGCACCTTTGGGACTCCAGGAGAAAGCCTGGAAATCTGGTGGCGGATTGGCAGCAGGGAACACACCATCTCCAGCTCCTGAGGGACGCTTGTTTCCCGACTCGCTGCAAAAGTCAGATAATCAGGCGTGTTGGGACAGCGAGGCAGATACCCAGAGCGAACATGACCCCAAGGAGGAAGATGTGTGGTCAGACAGCGAACACAACTTCTTGGATCCCAACATTGGCGGAGTAGCAGTGGCCCCCGCTCACGGCTCAATCCTGATCGAATGCGCCCGGCGGGAGCTTCATGCCACCACGCCACTCAAAAAGCCTAACCGCTCACACCCGAGCCGTATATCCCTGGTCTTCTACCAGCACAAGAACCTGAACCAGCCCTGCCACGGTCTGGCTTTGTGGGAGTCCAAGATGAAACTCCTAGCCGAGCGAGCGCAACAGCGGCAACAAGAAGCAGCTCTTTTGGGTCTCTCAGAGGAAGACATTAAGGCCTATGGGAAAAAACGCAAGTGGGCAGCAGGATCGGCGAGCCCGTCCCCTGGACAAACCAAGGACAAACGAGAGGGTGTGGTGACACGGATGGCGCCCACACAGCATACCACCACCATGGTCACAGTTTCACCCTACCCATCCACACACCTCACTGGTCCTTACAGTCGATTCGTGTGAACTCTTGTAGACTGTCGCCCCCTGGAGCCAGAGATGGGAATAGAAATGCTAAGCTGGCTCCTTTACCCTTTGCTTCCCCTCTTCTAGCTCCAACAGCTCTCTCAGGCCACCACAAGGGAGGGAGAGTAGAGGACGGGGCACTTTTTTCACTTTTTTTTTCTTTTACCTCAAATTTTGGCAGCAGTTTGGGAACTCCCCAAACGGACATGCTGTCTATGGTGCTCTTGCTCTCTCCAACGTGGGAGGGATTTCCATAGCTACCCCTCCTTAAGTGAATTTGATGATCCTAATTATTATTGCTCTATTATCAATATTATTACAATTGCTATTGTTACTGTCAACGTTGATATTACAGGTATTGTTATTATTATATTATGAAGATGACTATTTTTTATTTTAATGTTATTGTTTTTTCATCATTGTTATTAATATTATGATTTTTTTCTGCCCTCTCTTGACTAAGAGGGACGTCCTTTCTTCATTCTCGCTTGTTCATTATGAACATGAGAAAAAGCTAATCAGCATTTTTGTTGCGCTTTTTGCCTCTCCCACCCCCACCAACCTCTCTATATTGATGAAGCGCCTTCACGTCATTGCAAGTCACATTTCTGTGACTTCATTAAGGCATCTTTGTGCTAGTCACTGAACACGTGACCAAGAAAGAGAGGATCAGACACCAGCTTGGGCCTTTCTGTTTGGTGCCACTCTGATGAAATCTGTAAAGTTTCTCATCCCTTCAAATGGTGCTTATTTTCGGTCTCAAGTGTCTCTAACTTTGCCCTCACAATATGGAGGCAGGTGCTGGACCTGGGTGCTTTTTAGCAGCAGATGTCAGTCTTGGTTCAGCCTTCCATTGTGTCACCTGATTGGTGCTGACTCATTTGCCTGCAGTTTCATTGGCCATTATTCACTGCCCATTTTACATGTTCAGACTAAGGTGCTGATAGTGCTAGCAAAAATCCACCTTAATCGAACCGCCCTAAAGAGCTGCAGATAACCCACCGTGGGTCTTAAGCATACGATTTCCACAATCCAGACTCGGCTCAAACAGGGATTTCCAAAATCATCAGCCAATTTTTATTGGCTTGAAAATCTGCTTGATTCACCCTAGGTGTGTTCAGATTGACTGTAGAGTGTAGAGACTTGGAGCTGCAGTAGGTAAGAAATTATGGCTTTTTTTTAAATAATGACTTGCTACAAAATTGCCATTACAGATGAGTATCTATAGATTTGTAACATCAGCGTATCTGGTTGGTTTTAGACACGTAGTGTAAAAGCTAGAGGGCGACATGCCTAACTGGTTCCCTTAGATGCCAGTTCTTGTTTTTATGTAACACGACTGGCCCTTTGTAAACTGAACACGTCTTCCATGTCCTGATTTATCTGTAGTTACCCATTTGTGATGGTGATGATTTTATTAGGAGTTGGATATTTTCTTACCTGCTGCTGGTTACACCCACCAGCCTAACGGACAGAGCACATTTCTCGGAGTTGGTGCTACTATGAGCCTTTATGCTCCTGTAAAGTTGCCCCTCTCGTTACAAGCAGCCCTCTTCTCTCTCTTTGCCCAGAGAGATCATCTATACCTGGAATTCATGGTGCTGAATGGAATGCATACGGTTTCAGCTCAGTAGTTTGTGCGGGTGCATGCATAACTACATAATGCACGTGTGTGTGTGCGTGTGTGTATGGATTCCTAAACTGGTTAGAATGTATGTGAATGCCTGTCTGTGAGCTACATAGAGAGAGCAATGCAGGGCTGCTGCTGGTTTACACAGGGCTGTAAGATGCTTGACACTCACAGAGGAGATCCTGGTGCTCATTAAGTGGTTCTAACGCTCTTTACCTCATGTTGTACAGACACTGGTCCCAGTCACAACATGCTACAAACACAGCGGCGCTACAGACTGCAGGCTTGCTGCCTACATCCACATTCGTACCTACTTTTTTATTCTTATTTATTATATGATGATGATTATTGTTATTGTGATTGCTGTCATTTTATTTTTATGATGATTTTTTTTGTTTGTTCATTTTAGAGAAATTGTAAATACTGAAGAGAGGATTTTATAAAAGCACTTTTAATCTTGATTTTAATGAGGAAAAAAAATAAGAACGGATTATTGACAACTTGAAACCTAGTTTTTGTTTTAATGGAATTTTATTGGGAGAGATAGAAATGTAAATAGTTAAATATTTAGGTAAGATTATTTAACTGGTGAGGGATGATGGCCTAATCATGAATGATTCCTGAATTTTTAGTCTTCAGTTGTCTGTCAAGCCGTCAACAACAGACCACAAAGCAGGGTGTTTTGTCGGTCTACTCAAGATACTGCTGTCCTTTCTTTCGTGAGTACTGTACTTACACCAATACCTCTGTACTACCATTGTCACCGGCTTCCTTCCCCTGCATCTGATCCACATCTAGAAACCATAAACTAATGGAGAAGAAAGAAACCAATGTGAACTTGCTGAATAATACAGTTCGCAAGGATTCAGGACTTGCTTTTTCTGTTTTTTAATGAAGGGGCGTGAAAGTACATCACTTTAACATGAAAAAAAAATTGGCCATAGAACTGAGAAGATTATCAGGTGTAAACTTGCCGTTTGAAATGTGACCGCTTTCAGTTCAAAACTCTCGGTAGATCATTTAATGCTTATTATTTTTGTTTATTTGATTAAATATCGTGTGGGGCGAGTCTTACAGAGCTCTGAGTCTGCACTGACATTATATTATCTAGATTGTCACTTGTTCTTGTAGATGTGAGATATACCCCTGAAGTTTAAAAAGCTGAGTTTCGAGTGCGGTTTTATTCACCCTAAATGGCTTTTGAACCATGGTGCTACCCCATAGAGTTCACTGTGGAAAAGACTCTTGGCAAACACTGTTGCTACAGTTCTTTGAGCTCTTAAATTGATATGTGAACTGGTTTTGAGAGGAAACCTATATGGTGCTGATCATTTTTAAATCTCTGTATGTAGTTATTTCTGAAACAACATTTCTGATTATCGCAATTTTAAAAATAATTTAAAAAAAAGCACTCCAACTGATCCAGTTTCCATTTTTAGCCATCACCCTAAATAATTGAAATGGTACTTGAAGAGCATGAAGGCAGGTAGAGGAATAGGTACTCTCATGCTTTTGATGTGAATAGACTGTTAATTCAATATTCTGGTGCTACCTGAACTGCCCAGAGAAACCTTTTAACCCATTCTGATTTAGTCATGTTATTGGATATTCTCATTCTTTTTTCTTTACTCACATCTACCTTTTGGCCACGGTGTCACACAAACACACACAAACACAACACTCTCACATACACACACTACTCTGCCCCTCTATCAGCACTCACTGTTAACAGTATCAGTCATGCCCAGTTTTAAACATCAAAAGGACAGAATGTCTAAAGAAGAAAAAAAGAAAAAGAAAAAACTGGCAGCTACATTCCTTTATGAGTTAAAGATTGTTCTTGGTTCTATTTTTCATGTTGAGTATGCAGTATGTAAAAAGTGTTCTCTTTTGTTTGGTCTCTCTCCTTGTAGCTGTATGGTGTATTATGTGAATACATAGTGTATGTGGTAAAAGCCACAATACTGTTTTATGTTCTAAACTAAGAAAAAAATAAAAATAAAAAATATCAAGAAAGTTCGTGGTAGCGTTTACTCATTTATTGAACCTACTTGCTGCCAAATTGCCAATCTTGACTTAATTCTCTTGATCTACGAATTTGTTTTGCATGAGACATTAATTGTAAGACTAACAGTCAATTTTAACGTGAAATGTCTGGAAGCCTATCCAGGACTGCTTCATTTTTTTATTGATTTATTTTTCGTTTTAGAAATAGCAACGAGGTGTATTTTGCTACAAGTCCACAGGATGGCAACAGAGTTCCATCAACATGTGTGCTCAGCTCTATGTAAGTACATTTATGTGTACACACATCCCAATATTGCGGGTCATTTTATTAGGTTGTCTCAGTTAAAATGATTATATGATCTCTTTTCTGGAATAAAAACTACATATAGATTATTAAAGCTGTATAAAACAGTCAGATCTAATAATTTTCACGCTCATTAAAATTCCTGATTTTTTTTTTTTTTTTTTTTAATCTAATGATTTGCCTACAAACGTTTATTTTAAAACTAGTGTGAGACTTGCCCACAGCCTCATAGTTATTATTTTTCTTTTTTTTTAAACCAAAGTCTGACTATACCATGTCATAAACTACAGAGCGTCTGTCAACCACTATAAGTCAATCAACTTTTACACAAATGTAGCTCTAAATTCTAATAAAAACTTTAAACGGCAGAGAGAAATATCACACATCCTAAAATAAAATAAAACATTTGCACACCGTAAAACTTTTTTTTTTTTCTTTGAGATTTCTCGAGGTGAGCTTTTCGTTCCATCAGAGCCAGTTTCTGTTGGAGTCTTTTACACAGAGTCCTGAGTAAAGGTTTCATTCAAGAATAAAATATCACAAGCCACAGACAACTACCGGTTAATTTCTCAACACCTAATTGTAGTTTAACTCTGCATTATATTATTCTGTGCCTATACTGTATATCACTGTGTACACCTTTGATGTAACATATTGTACAAGCTTATAGTCACAAATTTATAGAGAACAAAACAGCCTATTATTATTATTATTAGGCTATTATTATTATACTACAGATACATATTTGTGTTTTAAACTAAATTGTGGCACGGTGCTAGGTCGGTCCTTATACGAAGTATACACGGACCGTCACTTAAGGGGTTAAAGCATAATCTATGTTTTTACCCATGAACAAAAATACGAAAAATCCAGCTAAATTTTTTTCCATTTCTTAAAATGAAAATCAAACTGTTTCTCATTTCTCTCTATTTCTTCTTAAGAAGAAAATCAAATGTCCAGAAGGTACACGGAGCGTGCTACTGCTAATACTGAAATAAAAACATGTTGCATGTGAACTTTGATGAGGTGAGATGAGTGATTGTGGCTCAGTAAGAGGGAATGATTTTCATGTTATGTGTTAAACATCATATCTGAATATTTTTCAGCTGAAGTCTCTCTTCTCACTAACAGAACGCTTTAGCCAAGGTTGCTGTGAAGAAAGTTTTTATTTTACAAGTGCAAAATTTTCCCTCTGAAGTGTAAAAACTGGCATATTAAAATTACAGTACAGTTATGAATTGTTCAGCGTCTTCTGCATTTTTCAGCGGAATAATGGTTCTGGTTCTAATGAAAAGTTTGGGATCAGTAGGACTTTTATTGTTTTTTAAAAAAGAATCTTCTGCTCATCAAGGCTGTATTTATTTGATCAAAAATACAGAAAAAACAGTAATATTGTGAAATATTATTGCAATTTAAAATAACAGTTTTCTATCTTAATATACTTTAAAATATAATTTATTTCTGTGATCAAAGCTGTATTTTCAGCATCATTACTCCAGTCTTCAGTGTCACATGATCTTCAGAAATAATTCTAACGTGCTAATTCATAATCAATAATGGAAGCAATTGTGCTGCTTCATATTTTTTGGGAACCTGTGATACTTTTGTCAGGATTTTTTTGATGAATAAAAAGTTAAAAAGAACAGCATTTATTTAAAATAGAAATATTTTGTAACAATATACACTACTGTTCAAAAGTTTGGGCTCAGTACATTGTTTTCTTTCTTTTTTTAAAAGAAATAAATACTTTTATTCAGCAAGGATGTGTTAAATTGATACAAAGTGATAGTAAAGACTTCTATTGTTACAAAAGATTTCTAACCTGATCTAGATAGGATTCCTCACATTTCATATACTGTGTGTCTGTGGTTCAGCACTCTTGCTTAGAAAATCTGTCTCTTTCTGAGACAATTATTGGTTGTTTACACTGCAAAACTGGAAATTACTGACAAGAGAGCGAGTGCCTTCCAAAAACCCAGAATAATGACCAGCACCAGGAATAAAAGCCCAAAGGAAATGGGGCTATTTGTCATTTTTACCACGCTTTCTGAATAGCAGACCAGAATTCAGCTTCTTCAGGTTGAGAATTTAGCATGGGACTACTAATCTAAAACGCTGAAATGGCATTTATTTGGACATGAAAAATGTTTATGCTTTGAAAGGCTTCTCGGTGCATTCAGTGTGTGATGTTGCTGTGTAATCCATTTCGAATAGATGGGCAAAATTGCACCTGAACACAGTGGTCTGATTAAGTCTCGAGATGGAGGTTTTCAATAGATTTCTTTTCAATAGTGGTTGTGTTCAGCGCCGTATCAAAGCAGTCAGATGTACTGAGGTGGCCCTTTGAAGATAAAAAGGCTCATGATTTGTCTTTCTGACATTACCAGTGACACTTATCAAAGTTATTAAATTGGTTTCAGAATTGATGAACTTGACAGTTATTGAACTGAAATAAATGAACACTGAAATGACTAAATAATGTACAATTTGTAAAAATATGTTTTCTGAAAAGTCCGAAAACTATTTTCTTTGTCAATTGTTACCCAGTAAAATACACTTTATTTCAGTACACAGTGTACCATAATGTACTGAGCGCGCTTTATTTTCACGCATGCACTAATTTTGTACTTAATACACTTAGGCCTGGTTTCACAGACAGGGCTTAGACTAAACCAGGATTAGGCCTATAGTTCAATTAGGACATTTAAGTAATTATTATGAACGTACTTAGAAAAAAACATTTCTGGTGTGCATCTTGAGCCAAAACAAAGGCACTGGTATATTTTACGATCAGTCAGTGCAAGTTTCTTTCAGTTGAAACAGCTCAGATTTACACTTTAGTTTAGGATTAGGCTTAAGCCTTGTCTGTGAAACCGGGGGTAAAATTATTCTTTAGTACTTCTCGAGATAATCTTAAGATCATCTAAGTGTACTCATTGTGCTATTTTGGGACACCATGAATATGAACTAAAATGTGCTTTTAACATACTTTCTCTGTAAAAAAAAAAAGTTACCACTTTTAACTCAAAAAATAAGGCAACCTTTCGCACTCAACTTGTTACGTTAACTCAACTAGCAACCGACAACTCAAAAACTTTAGTTCATCTAATGAATAAAAGTCAGTCTATTGAGTTTTAAAAGATCTGTCAAATCAACCAAAAATGTATTTAGCATTTAGCAATATTAAACTTTTTTAACAATCCTCTCTTTCAGGTTTATGTTTATGTTCACAGCCTACTGCATAACAGGCCTATGGGTAGTATTTGCCCCTTTGAACTAAAGGCAAGCATTTCTGCTGATAGACAAATGTATTAAATCCAGCAGTTGCATAAACTAACCCTAACAACCAATGTTAAATCAGTAAAGATATGAGCTCTGATCCACATGACAGCTAACTGACAACAGCAGCAGCAGCATAAATAATAAGCCAGTAAAATGTAAAACAATTATAATATTTTAATAATAATTAACAATATTTTCAAGCTGCAATGCATGCTGTGAACTTGTGCAATGTTGTTCATTGTAAAATTTGAACATTTGGATATGTTGTGAACAAACACTTAAGCAAAGTAAACAAAACAACTTTTGCTAACGACATGTTTAGAGTATTTTTGTTTGGTTCACACACAAAAAAATAAAAATAAACCGACTTCTCTGACTAAAAATTCTTTGTTCAGGCTACTTTTTTTTTACATTTAGAACTTTTCGAAAGTTGGATTTGTTACATCTGAAACCATACACTTTTAAACATACTCATCAAACACAGAAGATACACTTATTATTTAAAATATAAGATTAGTATAATGAATATATACAACATTTATTTACAATGTATCGCCGACGTATTTTTATAGCTAGATTAAATAATTTATTTCAAATGTATTGTGATTGTTAACATTCCCTTTATATGATATATTTAACTACACGTTTATGGTGTCTTTAAATAGTACAGTAAAGTACACTATTGCTATGTCATTAATAGCACTTTGTTCCACATTAGAAATATAGCACTTCAAGTACTTTATGCTAAAAGTATACTTACTGTCAAATTGTGAATTTTGGTTCACATCTAAACAC